GTGGGTGGGGGGGGGGGGGGGGGGGCCTCACATTTGTTTTTAATTTAAGGAGAGAAGTTTAACAGTTTCTTTTAACATCTGGGGTGTTTGTTCCAGAGGACACCGATGCTTTCCACTTTCAAACCATTCCCAACTCCCGAGTTCTTGCTAAGAGTATATAAGATTTTGCTGATTTGCCCGCGTAACCCATGGCTCAATAAGCCCCCCCATAACGCCGGCGCTCCCCTGCAGCGAGCGGGGTGGAGAGGGGGGATCCCGACGTGGGCGAGTGGCGTCAGAGGAGACGGGGGGGTCCGACGAGCGCAGCCGCCCGCGAGGGAAGCTGCGGAGAGCGTGACGGCGCGTGTGGGTGGGAAGCGAGTGTGACTGGTGCGGGACCGAGCCGGGTGCGGAGGCGTGCAGGGGGTGGCGTGGAGACGGTGACGAGCGCGAAGCCGATGTGGGGTCAGCTGCTCGCGGGCGGAAAGGGGAAACGGCAAAGGAAAGACCGCGGAGGCAAACGGAGCCGAATTAGCTGTGGGGTACAGGGGAGAGCCTAAAAATGAATTAAACGCTTATCAGCAAGAGCAGTTCCAAAGGAAGAGGAATCTAAAGCGTGTGCCAAGCTCCAGGGAAAGTCTATTTATACCACTCAGTCAATGGCCTAAAATTTGGCAATTCTCTGGGTTTCTCACTGTAAGACAAGTCCAGAGTTTTCATGCTGTCACCCATTTGGCTAGAAAAAGGTTAGTCCTCTGTAATACCGTGCTAAGTACAGCTTTCCTCTAAATTTAAGGAACACATTTAGAGCTTTTCCTCATTGATAATTAACTTGAGTTGCTATTAACTCAATTGTTGTCTCTCTGTCAAGTCACACCCACCCACAAAAGCTCTTAACTGAAGACTGGCTCTTCTTTTAATTTGAGTTGGCTGTACATCAGACAGGACACGGCAAGACAAGGATACAGCACAACTCAACAGCTACTAAAAGAAAACAAACACCTTAGAAAGCAGACGTGGACCAGCTCCACTGGAGGAGTAACTCTGCTCCTTGGATGCTGTGCTATTTATATCATCATGCCAAGGAGTCCTAGTTCCGCATTAGGCTGCTGCTGCGCACCATTTCCCTGGTGCGCTCAGGAGTAAGAGACAAGATATTTCTAGAATTGCTTAGCTTAAAGGACAGAAATATATGGGATGTACCTTTTGAACGCAGCAGATCATGAACACGTCCAGAGATGGCGTAGAAACAGCAGCACTCTCAAACAAGGCTAACGCAAGAGGAGCAACCTGAGTGCAAGTCATCTGACTTGCATTCTAGTGAATGCACACAATTTGCACAGCCCATACTGAGCTCAACAAGGGATAAACGCTGCCAGCTACCAGTGAGGAATTCACAGTGAAACAGCCTTACAGGTACACTTGCAGAACGACTCAGATGAAGATAGCTCCAGCTAGGCACACAGCACCATCTGCAAATACTGACTTATCATCACCCAGGAGTTCAGAGGTAGACATCAGTTGCTTCAACAGTACAGACTGGAGAAAGTTATCTTAAAAACACAAATATCAATCACGACCAAGCAACTTCCCACTGTTGTTGATTATGACCCTTATTCAGCGTGTGTTCATACCCTATGCTGGAAGACGTGGAGGAGGGATGACACCACCAGAGGCTTTGTGTAAAGGCTCACTCTCCCTTTGCCATCCCAGTTGCCTGTGGCACCTGGGCTTCCCTGGAAGATGACGGCCCCTTTACACAAAGAAGTTTGGAATGCAACTTTGTGGACCCACGCCTTGCTATTACTTCATCCTTTACTAACGAGTAATACGTACGCTGGCAGGCTGGAGGCATTTTGCATCTGTTAATAGGGTCAATACTGAACCTCTGCCCTGAAAGGAGACTCAGGACAGGGACTATTTGACTGTTCCAGAAGAAGGTGGGGCAGAAAAAGAAAAAACAACCAACACAAACACCCTGAAGGCTAGTTTTCAGCTCCACGAAATTTCTTTTATGATGTTCATACAAGAAATGAGTAACGCTAACATGCGACCTGCTTAGAGGATGCACCTAACTCCGAAATGTCTCTAAAAGAAGAGTCAAATGCCCTTCTGAAGACACATCAGTAAAGCACAATGCAGGACGGATACAATACAGCCTGTGCAATTTTGGAGAACACAGTGATACTCTGCTGACCTTAATAAACCAACTAAATCCACACATAAAACTTTCAATCTTATCAAGCAATGAACATTACGCTGACTGCTGCTAATGAAACTCTGTTTTGATCAACTAAGTACACACACAAAAGTATTTCTGTCACTAATCCTGTTTTATTAGACCTTGGTCCTTTGCCTTTCTGGGCTCTACTCAGCGTAGGACTGCCCTGGAGCAGCTGGAGGCCATTCTCAAGGCAGCTCTGCTTTGTGCTGACACCTTAACAAGTGCCAAAAGGCAATTAGGCAGGCTGGGGATTGCCAGCAGCCCCTTCTCAGCACAACCCCTGCCCAGAGCAGGGTGCTGCCCTGTGTGTCACCCAAGCCAGGCTCTCCTCTGCTGCTGGACTACTGGAAAGCAGCCCAGGATCTGACCTGATGCTAACGAGCGCAACCTGCTGTAATTGCCCAAAAACAACTAGTGAAATTTGGAGTTATGTGCCAATCACTGTAAAAATGTGCTGTCGAACAATTTTACTTCAAGATGGATTCACTACTACACTCAGCAGCACTAGGAGCAGAGCTAACTATGTGGTTTCTAAAGTTACTTTGGTGAAACACATGTACAGAACAGGATATTATGTCCTTTTACAGTGCGACATCAAGAGAAAATGTCAACTCATTTTTTATTTATTGAGTAAAAGAAACCCAAGAGGGCAGAACAGAAGAGTTGCCCTTTTTTCTCTGAAATCAAGGTAGAGCTGGCTGGATCAAGGTAAAATTATTTAAACACTCAAACTGTTTAAATTGCACCAATGAACTAAACTCACATAAAAACAGATGTTATTGTGCACATGCATTACCAGAACCAGGATAATTGTTTAGATGAACCATTAGGATCATCAGCCTGACTCCAAACAGCTGTTCTAAAATTAAGAAAAATATCTAGAACATTTCTCATTCTATAGTAAGTCAACATGCTTCTTTTTGTCCCAATTCAGGAATGTGTATTTCGAAGCTAGCCAGAAATCCAGATCTCGATTCTCTAAGAAGGGTCTTACCTGAATTCAGCAAGACTTTTGCAGATATTTTAAGAAAAAAAAAATTATTTGGAAAATCTCCAAGCTCTTGCCGCACTTAAGTAAATACAGGACTACGTTCATAATAATGCATAACTAATAGTTTGGCGGTATTTAAGCTTTTCAACTAGTTTCCTCTAGTTGTGCCTGCACGCTGGAAGCATTGGTTCCGCTCCAGTTGGCCCTACAATTTGCTGCGTGTTCCTCACTCTTCCTGTGGATTCAACTTAGCAATTATGTGGCCGTGAGATGAATTGGTTTAGCAAGTTGATCTGAGGGGAAACCACTTTTTTTCATCTTTTTCCCCCGCAAGTTGGTTTTCCATTGGAGCAACTTGCTGAGTCTGTTCACCGCGTAGCCACACAGCCTCTGTATCTGGTGTGAGAAAAAGTAGTAGGAGTGTGTGACCAGGGATGGAGGGAAGAGCAGGATGACACTTTTAGAAAGCAGCCCACAGATCAGCTGTCATATAAAACTACAGCCCGTGGGTAGGCCCTTACAGGTGTGGTTCTGTAGCAACACAAGTTGCCTCAGACTTGACTGCAAACCGTACTGCTGTGGAGTCCCTGAGTGCCTGTACCAGCTCCCATGATGTAAAAATCAAGTGAGGGACAGCTTCAAGGAGTTTGTCAGCTCCCTGGACTGGCTGGCTAAGAGGTCACAAACACCAGTGTCACAAGAGAAGAGATGGGACAGTGGCAAGTTATATTTATGAGGGTTTAAGTTGTTGCAGAGTTATGCTAATTCAGTCTTCTATTCTCATAGCTGCCAAAATTGGGGAATCTGATTCCCAAGACACTTGCAAAAGTTTCCAGGAAAAGTTTCTGCTGCTATCCTACTGCTTCTGTCCAAGCAGCAAAGCATATTGCTGCTGGGAATGAAAAAAAAAAAACAACCAACAAACCAACCAAAAAAAACCCCAGAAAACCAACCACAGGCAACTATCCCAATAGATTCATCATGTGATGACAGTGAGGAAAGACTAGGAGGGACACAGAAGGGGTAGAGTGTTTCTCAAAAAAAGACTGTTTGGAAAAAAAAAGCTCCACCACAAAAGTAAATGCATGACAAACAAAAGCCCACCACCCTGCAAAGTGCACCATCTAAACTCCTACTCACCATTGAAGGGGTTAATCTTGTTTGAGATTCGTAAAGAAATCGATTCCTTCAGCTCCTTCTTCTTCACACACTGAATGCCCAAATTCTGAAAACTGAAGCACATGTGGCAGGATTTCAGCAACTAATAAAGTGTCCAGAGTGTAGTATTAAATAAATTATTTGATGTTGTCTAGTATGACAACACACAGTGTAAGAAATGAAGAAAGAGAAAAAGCTTATTTTGAGAAGGATGTAAAAGATCTGGAAAGCAGGGATGCTGTTTTTTCTAAAATAAGAGTAGAAACGGAAGTGAAAAATACTAAAAACTCTAAAGAATTTATATTCTTTAAGAACATATATTTCTATATTACAAATTGTTACTCTGCAGCAAACCTACAGTGATTAAAAGTTAAGTACTCAGTGTCAGGTAATTTAAAGTCACAATTATTTTTGTTATCAATAAACCTGCTGATTCGCATTAGCTACGTATCTGCCCTCCTACTTTTATGAGGGAATATAAAATTTCAAACACTATCTTAAAGGTTTTCTGAAACAAGACTAAACAGGTTTTTAAATCTCACGTAGTTATGGAAAAGTTCTGAAGAGCTGCAGCTCTTCCTTATTTGCATAAGAGTGCAGGTCACCCTGATGCAGGAGGTGGGGGGAGTCCCAGGCGAGAAAAAAACATGGAAAAACCATGACATCATCAAAGCTGAGTGGATGTAAAGCAGGAAGTAAAAAAAAAATTAACAAAAATAATCTGTGTTTCATGATGTTACAATAAGCTCAGAAGATAGGTTGTGCCAGCAGGCATCTTTCTCCAAAAATACCAGCTACTTCCCTTCCTTTGAAACTCCGCAAAAGTTCTTTTGCTTTAGCTATGTTTAAAAAACCACCCTAACGCACTCAGAGATGCTCCTTCTTCCTGCCAACACTCTCACGAGTAGTTCTACATTTCCCTGCTCCGAATAAGACTACCCTAGCATGATGTTAAGTTTAATTTCCTTAAATTCCCTTGCCTGCGCCCAATACGTTCTGTTCAGAGGTTCCCAAATCCTCTGCAATCAGGTTCCACTCCCAGAACTTTTATTTACTAGAGGATATGTAAGCTTCTTTTCGAACCTGAACTTGATACAGTGACCTGGAGGAAAATAAAAGGCAGAAGCATCTCATAATTCACTAAAGCACTTGGGCTTCATACTGCGGCTACTGACATCCAAGATTTGCACCATACCTTGATGAGAAATTCCACGTCTATCTTCTCTTGTCGGGAGTACTTTTTTTAGGGCTTGATGACAGCTCATATTATGCTTTTTTCCAAAAAAAACGCCCACTGTATTCCACAGATTCAGTCTGAAGGACACCTCAAGTCCATGAACAGGACTTGTTCTGTATGATATCTCCAAATTGCCCTCTGGAAGTGCCAGGCTCTCCAGCCATCCACCATTCAAGCTACAGATACCAAGCATCATGTATGCAGACCCAGCCTTGAATAAAATCTCCACCCAGCTATGCCATTCCTCTGCACCTTCTAACCACTTTGAACAGAGCCCCTCATGGAAGGAAACCAGGCTTTTAAGCACCCTGTAATTCTCAGATTATAAGAATTTTCTTAAACACGCGTCATCACAGTGGAAGCGTCTATTCAACCACCGCTACACAGAGGGCCAGGTCAGAGGAGAAACTGCTGAGAACTTCAGCAAGGCCGTGGGGTTTCACATCAATGCTAGCTGACAGGAAGCAAGCAAGATAACGAGAAGAGAGAGAGAAGTAGGGAGGAAGAAAAAAATTAATAATTAAAAAAACCTATGATATCATCCATGTAGAGAGATAGCAAACTAGGAAGTAAAAATCTGAGTATGCAGCAGTCAAATGCTCAGACATCCACAGTTTTTTGCCTCGTGTTTTGGCCAGGGAGGGCTCCGATCGAGTTCAGGCAGCCATACAAAAATTATTTAACCACAGGCAGAACAAAACACTTTGTTCAACCGGAAATACACGGGGAACTTGAAACAAGCAGAAAGCAGAGTAATTACTCAGACTAGCCCAAAATCTGGGATTAATAATTCCACTTCTGAAAATAAATAAATAGGATTGTATTTTTGCTCCATTTGGGATGATGAGCAAGAGCAAACAGCCGGAACCACTACCAAGAGAGGACATCTCCTGCTCGCTAGTATCGTACGAGGCTTTTCTCCAACATGTACTCGAAGCGAAGAATGTGAAGACTGAGTCACCAGCCACAAAAAGGAAAATGACTTTAAACATCCAGATCCAATTATGGATCATACTGTTCTTTCATCTTAAAGTAACCAATGATTTGTTAAAAAAAAGAGCGTACCAATGCTGGAAACATTTCAAAGAGAATGTTTTGAGCCTCCTCCCATCAGGATCTCTGATGTCAAGCTCAACTGAAGCTCACAGTTTCACATTATCAGTAAAGTGAAAGTAGCCCACTTACTATTTTGTAAGAAACTGAGAGGATTAAAACCTAACGATACTGAGAAGAACTGATGGATAAAGTAAACAATCACAAGTGTCTTAAATGAAACGGAAGCACAGCATCGTGTCAAAGAACACGATTTGATGCACATATATAATGCAGACAAAACCAAAATTTGCAAATAAATGTTTGCAGAGCATCCCAGTCTTTTCTGGAGTTACATCCTTTCATGGCCTCTCTGCTGGCACGCCTTGTGGTTACACACTGAACCTTGTGCAACAAAACGCCAAGAGGAAAAACAGTCATCAGTGTCTTCCTGCACCCGGTGAACAGAACACATAACCAGAAAAAGTGTTAAGCAATCAGGCTGCTTCACTTCGGATCAGAAGGCACAGAGCCAAGAGCAGGAAGCGGGATGGGCTACAACAGCAGACATCCTCTGACCTTGGGGAGGAAGCTTGCTTTGAGAAGTCAGAGGGGAAGCTGGTGAATGGATGGTCAGAGGAAGGTGCAAGGTCCCTCAACAGTTTAAGATATTTGTATCTGCCTTTCAGACAACATGAAGGGGAACTCTACTTGCAGGGAAGCCGATGAGGATGAGGTTACAACAGTCAAGGCGGAAGGTCAGTGCCTGAAGAGACAGCTCTACCTTCCTAGAGAGGTATGACAGGGAAAAAATTACAGGAATTACATTTACTAATCCTTTTCTACCATTTGTCAATCAGGGCAGCATTGTGAACAGAGCTAAAACCAATGAACTAACAAAATTGTTGGCATCTGTAACAGCAAAAGACAGTACAGTCAACGTTCTACACGCCACCTGAACACACTGCAGTGCATTTATGATCACTTGTGCCTGGGCTGTATGTTGAAGCAGCATCTCCACTATTAAAACTGGTTTTATTTCACCATCAGGCAATCATCGTCTTCAAACAGATCATGTCTTCAATTCTTTCCTTTAATAGTGCTCTACTGACCAAATCCATATAAATATGAAGTAATTTCACTAACATCAACAGCATCACATCAGCCTGAAAGCAGTGAGTAAGGGCTACTTATACACTGAAATACTTACCTTATTTTCTTTCCAGCTCAGTTATGTTTACCCCAAAGCAATAGCCTACTTCCAAATTTACTACAGCGCAAAAAACTGACCCACAAACATTTCCCTCTCCGGCTATAATCACTCCACATTTGTTGCAGTTTACTCTGCTTTTACTTTATTACATAAGACTTGGTAAACTTACAGGAAAAGCCATCACATACAACTGTAATTTAGATATTCTTAATATCCCTCTGATCAGCACTGAGAAACACATCTCATACATAGCCTGAATTTTCCTTTCTGCATTCACAAGTAGATACTTCCCCAGCACGTTTGCTCTACAGAGCTGAGCCTGAGCAGAATCTGTATTTTTACTCAAAAAAAACCCAACCCAAACAAACAGCAACAGCAGCAACAGCTACTAACACGTTTCTAGATGTGTCACAACTGTTGTCTTCTAAATGACATGATAACTCAGCCAATACAAACTTTCTCCAGTTTCCAGAAATTCCAAATATAATTCCCACGGAAGACATGAGCTTCCCTAATCACCGTGAAGTATTAATTTTAAAGTTGTTGTTGTTATCCGTTCCATTACTCATCATTTTCACATGTAGGAGTGTCATGCTCAAGAGTAAGAAGCGTTAGTGAACAAGACTAAAAAAAGCAAATCAAGCCAGAGAAAGTAAAAGGAGACAGACATGGGGAGAATGAACAAAGGAAAGAAAAGGGTGACAGGAAAAGAACAGGAGCAAAGATGAGCATGTGAAGTACTGAAAAAAAAGAAGGAAATACTTCAAAGAGCAGTTGCCCTCTCTCTGAGATGGATTAGTTAAACTTCAGCAAAGACAGCACACTAATTGCCCTTTTAATCACTAGTCAGGGTTTCAAACCTTAAGATTAGCACAGCACTTGCATAATTAATCGAACTCCCAAGCAACACCATTACTCACGATAGGACTCGCCGTTCGGGCCCAAACTCTGCTTCGTAGTAGCCATCTCTGCAGTCTTTTCCAACCAGATAATGAGGGTGTGGCTTGTAGGGTTCGTTCTTCGTTACCAGTGTAGTCCTTATTTTGACTTTTCCAAAATAGTTCAGAATCTACAAAAAATGGGAGATGTCGTCTAGAGTTTAGATACAAGGGGTAGTAGAGTCTCCATATGTAACAGAAAATACATTTTATCCTAAAACATTCTGTGGAAGAAACACCACAGCTAAGAAAATGGTGTTATTGCTTCATAAAAGCTAGGACCGTTCAGAAGTTACGTTCATTCCATTTCAGTTCTGTTCATTTTACACTAAAAAAAAACCAACTCTGACAAAATACCTGAAAAGTGAAAACTTTTTGAAAAGCATCTCTCACCTGTTTCAGAAACTAAACCAACATACTTCACCTGCCAGTTTTGTGAAAGAAGTTGGTTATTTCTCACGATAAAATTTCACTGGTGCCAGCATTTGACATTCAATCCATTCAGTTCTCAAACTACCCTACTGCAAGAATGGGAAGTCAAAAAGGCTCTCAAGAAGTTGTGGGATTTTTTCTTCCCTCATTTTTTTTTATTTAAGGCTGGAGATCTATTGCTACCCCATCTTACCAAGGCTCTTTATATGATTTGATTTCATCCCTGTGCAAAAGGCCAGAGGTAATACAGAAGCTTAGACCTAAAACAGCCTGCAATGCTCTAAGACCTAACGTAACAGGACATATTTCATCATCATATCTAGCCTTACAATGAAAGATGCAAAATTCTATGTAGGTGATCGCATACAAATGCTAACTGAAGGACACGTCTAGCTCCAAGGCTTTTAGGAAAAAGCTCCTACAGCCTCAGGGATAAGGCTAATACCTGTGCATGAACTCTGAGTAGCGAAAGAGGATCTTAACAGATACAGCACAATATAATCCTCTATGAAGTCTCTTTTATTTAATTACTTCTCAGATCCAAGAAGGGGAGCACTGAATTCTCAAGCTCCTACTAGAGCCTTCAGTGCAGTCATCAGCCTAATTCAACACACGTCTGAGGTGCGTAAAAGTTTTCCCTCATGCTGACGGCGACCAGTGAAGTCACCAAGGGTTGCGTGGGTAAGTGTTAAAAAAAAGGAAACAAAAAAAAGAAAAACAGTTTGGCCTAAATTGTTTAAAGCATAACAACTTGAAAGCAAATACAAGACTTGCTCAGACGCACATCTGTGCAGAGGCGAGCTCTCCTCCTCCACTTCCCTTGCCCTATAACTAACTGTTCCTCTCCTCCTTCAGCCCTTTCTTTCCTCCTCCTGAGACTCCAAGGATCCATCATATATCCCTTTTGGCCAACACCTCAACCTTTGACCTGACCTGCGCTCTTCTAGCTTCCATCCTCTGTTTGCTTCTTCAGTCTCCAGTTTGGCTCCTTTCTTGGCCTTCGTACAAGCCACCATTACTTTTCTCCCTTAAAACTTCCACCGCTCCTTCACCACTTTCAACTATTACATCATTTCTCCCTCATTTCAAGCCCAGTCCCTTGAGAACCTGAAGCCCGATCACACTTTTGATTCTCCAGTTCCTCCTTGATGTTCTTCATCACAACCACACCACAAAATTTAATCTCTTCCTGGCCTCTCTGTTCGCATCCTCATTGATGTTTCCATCTCTAGAGGGGACTCCCCTAGCAGCTAATCAGCACTAAAGCCTCCTACGGGCTTCAGGGAGGCAGGAATTCACCTAGAAATCACCTGCTATCAGTAACAATCAGCTCTGTCATCAACAGTCACCTTTAAAAAAGAACAACCTATGGCCAGGATTGCACAGTCGCCTACCACGTCCTACCTTCCCTTCGGGTCCACGCTGAGAGGACTCAAGGGCTTATACTGCCCATCCAACTTGTGCCCTGGCACAGCCTTAGGCTGAGAGTCTCTGAAAGTATCTACTCTTGCCAGCAGCCTACGAGGTTCCTTGTTCAATTGGTAGAGTGCTAAAAAAACAAAAAGAGTCTGGCAAGACCTCCATTTCCTGCATTCCTTAACCAAATCTGGCACTGTGACAGTCAAGGGGGGGAATTTCGTGTTTGCTTCTTCCCTCAGTAATTCTGGCTTCAGGGCTAGACCCGCTTCCACAGTCGCTTTATGTAGTAGAGGCTCACTCTACTGCTCAACACATGACTGCCTAGACTAGTCTTCTCAAACTCTCACTCTTCTTTAAGAACTTTCATGCCTCAGCCTAAAACACCGCGTATTTTTCAGATTTCACATCCTCTGTATCATCTTTTACTACTTTGATTCCACAGACTCCATCTTTGGCTCCACTTTTTTTATACTTGCACATACTGCAAACACAAATACTTAGATTCTCCTCCAGGGCACTGTAATATTCTTCAAGATGGCAAGTACTCCTAACTTCCTATTTATATTTGAGCTTTCTTTTCCAATCTCATCTTTGAGATATTTCCCCCAAATTGAAAGAGGTCAAAGGAACCACTAGCAACTTAAACTTCAAATAGTAGACCAGAAATTCTTCTCCCTTACCCTACCTGAGCAGGGTCTCTGACACATTCCTTTGTCCCTCACACGAAAGCTACTGCCAAAGTGCTTCCATTCCACCTCTGCTGCCTGTATCTTTGTCCCTGCTTTGATCATAGCTGCTAGGGCTACTCCGAATCCCTTCATTCTGGATTTCCCAACCTATCCATAACGCAACCACCCAACTCGTCTTCATTGCAGGTGCTCTGACCACATAATTCCCCTTTCTCAGCTCGTTTTTAAATTCTTAATCGCCTTCTGACTTCACATACTTCACAGTAGTTTCTTTTGCAGAGCCTAATCACTGATTCACTGGCTGCAAGTCACTTTCTTTCTTTGCTCACTTTGTAGAAGTGCCTCCTTTCATGCTGTGCCCAGCAGCTTTTCAAAGCCTTTTCAGATTTTGGACGCAAACTCCTCCAAAGCTCTCCCAAAATTCATACTGCCATCCAAACAGTAAAAACCAACCCAACTCACATTACTAAGAAACCAGAACAAATGTGCATACAGAAATAGTTAATAACGAATGATTCCCAGACAATGGGTAACTTTGCTGAATTCCCTCTCTACTGGCACTTTGTTAACTACCTCTACTCTTTCTCCTCTTCTTGTAAATTTGAAACAATATGTTTAATGGCTAGGAGCAAGGAACTCTTCTCCCACTTTGTTGCAAGTACATTTGCATGCCAAGGAAAGAATAACAGAACATGAAATGGAAAGCATTTTATTTACAGCACTGAGTCCAACAAATAGGTACAGCACGACATTAATCTGGGCAATAGTAATTCATGGATGAAAGCTGTATTTACCTGTATGGAAGGGAACGTCTTATTGTTGTCAGTACTGTGTTCTCCTGGAATGCTGCCTGCCGATCTTCCCTCACATTTGTATCTGAAACGCATGCCCCTTTGCCTGGGTTGTTCAAATATTTCAATGTAGGGCTCAGGGCCACCTTAAAAACAAAATGTTGTCAATATTAGTACACAGCAGAGCTTAAAAAGCAGCAGATGAAGTAAGAATTAGAATATCTAGACTCTTTGATCAACATTATCATCTTTCCAGTTGGTTTACCTTCTCAGACAATCTAGTCTTCTTGTTACATACATGCACACAATGAAAGTGGGGGGTGCAGGGAGAGAACACATTTTAACTGAAGCCTTGGGTATCAATGTCATTTAAGTAATTAGCAAAGGACACTGTCCCCTCCATCTCAGCTAGAACTTAACTTCTTTTAACTATTAGAGTATGTGTCTGATGAAAGAGGATTTTATACAACAGAAAGCAAATCCTTATTTTGAGGGAATGGTTGATACTTTTAACTGTAATACAATTTTAGGAATGGTTGTCTTCTCAAAGCACAGGTACTGTCAGTCCTATGTTCTCTTAAACATCCTCTGAAAGCCAAGATGTTTCCTCAGAACTGAATGACTTAGTTCCTAGTATAGTGAAGCAGAAACTATGCAAATTATGCAAAAAAAACCTACTGGGTTGAATACCATCACTGTGGGCTCAGAAAATACCTGATTGCTGGTATTGAATTCTACATCTTGAGCTGCCCACCTCCCACAGGGCCAGCTTCTAGTTGCAGTATCTCCCCAGACAACGAAACCTCAGTAAGAGCTATATGGACAGTTGTTAAAAAAGAGGTTTTCAGGAAACATGAGCAACAGACAAGAATAAAAGACAGCAGAACTCTTAAATGGGAGGGGGGGGGGTTAGAAAGACATTAACTTTACAAGAGTGTTAATACTTTTCAAGTGATGTTTTATTGTGAGACAGTAACAAGCTACTTAATATATCTTACTGAGAACATCAAACAGGACAGTCAATCAAACAGTGACAACAGTGGGATGGCATGTGAAAAACAAACAAGTGAGGGTAAGTAAATATTGTCCAAGTTGAATCATCGCGGTGCTACATGATCAGAAGAACATAGCTTATGGAAATGTCTACTGAGCCCTGTGTCATCTTCATATAATAGCATCCTACTCAAGCAAGGTCAAGCATCACAACCAAACATGACAGGCAACATCCCATGGCATAGCACTGAAAAAAGTGCTTGGACTTCAACATAAGCCACAAAATAGTTATTAAGTATATTGAAAGTGCTAAAAGGGTAAAAGATCCCCTACTTCCTTTTGCCCGAGATCTATGCAGCCTAAGATCCATAGCATAGGAGTTTTGGCAAAGAAGTGGATTCCAATCTTAACTCCATAATAAAAGCTTCTCTTTTGTTGCACCTACAGCGATTTAGATATACCTGCCAACAAAGCTTGACCTCTATTCCTTGGATTTGTTCACTGCAAAACATTCGCGGTGCTGCAGCGGTTCGTACTAAAGTAGGAAAATATTATAACCCAAAAGATAAAGTAATTAAGAGAAGTAGAGAAGGGATGGAAAGAACTACATCTCGGAGATGTCACCTTGGTCTTACCTGAAAGCACATTTCAGCTGTAACACACCTGCAGACAACTGCGGAATGCCAGCATGAGAAAGCAGCTGTGACACTGGAATTATCTTCGACACCACACGCCTTTTCCAAATCTTGAATGCCTTTTTAAAAGGCACAACACATTTCAACTTCAGGCAGTGTTTGGTGCCAAACACTTGAGAACTAAGGTTTAGGACTCTTTATATTCCTTTTTAACAGGTTAGCAAAACACATGAGCCGGCAACGTGCGCTGGCAGCCCAAAAAGCCAACCATATCCTGGGCTGCATCAAAAGAAGCGTGGCCAGCAGGTCGAGGGAGGTGATTCTGCCCCTCTACTCTGCTCTCCTGAGACCCCACCAGGAATACTGTGTTTAGCTCTGGAGTCCCCAACACAAGGACATGGAGCTGCTGGAGCGGGTCCAGAGGAGGCCACAAAGATGATCCGAGGGCTGGAGCACCTCTGCTGTGAAGACAGGCTGAGAGAGTTGGGGCTGTTCAGCCTGGAGAAGAGAAGGCTCCCAGGGGATCTTATTGCAGCCTTCCAGTACCTAAAGGGGGCCTACAGGAAAGCTGGAGAAGGACTTTTTACAAGGGCATGTAGTGATAGGACAAGGGGCAATGGCTTTAAACTGAAAGAGGGTAGATTTCAATTAGATATAAGGAAGAAATTTTTTTACAATGAGGGTGATGAAGCACTGGAACAGGTTGCCCAGAGAAGTTGTAGATGCCCCATCCCTGGAAGTGTTCAAGGCCAGGTTGGATGAGGCTTTGGGCAACCTGGTGTAGTAGAGGGTGTCCCTGCCCATGGCAGGGGGGTTGGAACTAGATGATCTTTGAGGTCTCTTCCAACCCTAACCATTCTATGATTCTATCTAAACTGATCACCTTCCATCAAGCAGATTTTAAATAATCTTTTGAAAATAGACCATGAGCTGTCACATTAAATACACATTAGTCATTACTCTAGGTCCAGTTACTTACAAGGATGGTCCCTTTTCTAGATACTTCCCAGATTTTATCTAACCCTCCTTTAGATAAACTTTGCATATTTTCTCTTTGTGGAAAGGGTGGGGAGACAGATACTGATGACAAAAAAGCCTAGAAATGACGTAAAGCTGGTTTCAGAGAGAGCAGAAGTCTGAGTGTCTCACAAAACCAAACTCACACACCAGCGTACGGCCATTTAACTTCCACACTTGAATTTACTCATAATATTGTATTCAACAATGTATTCTGGTCCAGTGGACCAGACACCAGAGGACTTCTGCCAGCAGTGAGGAGCGACTGCTGCGTAACAGTCAGCCTCCCATTTCCATCGTGCAATGGAAGAGAGAAAAGAATCTCGCCTTTCCATTACTACGTAACACAGTATGCCACAAAGATGGACACGTATCCATATACTAAATTAAAAATCTATTTTAGATGTTATAATGACAAAATTGCAGTAAAGTGCCTACTAATCATCTTACTTGAGATGCACATGCTTACCTAGCTGCTAACCAGACGCACAGAACACCCACATACATTACGTATGTCAAAACTAGCCAGAGCCTTGCTGTTCGAAACTACTATAGAACACAATCACTTCAGGTCTTTAACTCTCTCTGCCTTAACCAATAATTTCCCTTCATGCTCTATTAATACTTAAGAGGACTTTTTTCTCATGTACTAAGAGCACTTTATTTTAAAACGCTGGGCTTGGTGATCTTTATGGGGCTGTGGTTGAAACAAATGTCATTGAAGGCAAACCCACTGCTTAATAGCAGGTGTGTTTGTGGGAAAGTAAAGCTCAATGACGCGGCAGCCTCTAGAGATTAAACATTAAACTTCATTTTCTCATGGTTCCCTCTCACTCTATTTAAGAATCACGTTATCACCTCTACCGTGATTATCGGTGTCATCGTGTTTTGTTTGGAGAGGAAACACAAAAGCATTTCTGCAAACTAAAGGTATCACCAGCACTCTGCAGCGAAGTGGAGGTCTGTTCAACGTTCCCTATTTCTGTAAATCAGCAGTGTGCTTGTGAAGTGGCATGGCTTAACTCTTTCACAATCTACTCTCACACACAGAGGTCTGTTACGTCCCATACGGTCGCTAAAGACCTGTCCTCCTCAGGTCTCACTGTGTTTGTCAAGCAACCATGAGCTACGTCAAAAAAAAACAAACTCTCTTTTGCTAATTCTGGAAGAGAAATGCAGGGCTACTCATATTACCTACTTGCCCACAACTACTTGGAAAAGTGTTTGAAATGGAAGAAAAGCAAAAATCTAGCTAATCCTTCATCTAAGTGCTTAAAAATTTAATTGGCATTTGTAATTAATTATAATTACCTATACGCATGCTACCAATAGAAACATTATGCTACGTATTACAACCTGCCTCTTGTACTTTTTGTTATAAAATCGTTTATTCTCCCTGTGCCCTAAATACTACACTACCTAATTTAGAAGAGAATATAGGAGACCGTGTCACGATTACATCCGCAAGGAAAAGACATAAGAGCAGTAACCGCTCCAAGAGTTCCGCCAGCTTATACTCATTCAAGAACTCAAGGCTGGTTTATTCTAAACCGTTTCAAGCAAAACAAAAAGGAACAAAAGGACAGCCCCAAACAACACTTCATCAGATCTCTCCATGACGAGAAACCTGCACCAGTTTAAAGTTTAACACGGCCTGTGCCATTAGGGAGGAAGCATGACACGCTGCCACCAAACAAAGTGACAACGGGATCAAGGGTTCACGTGTTTTGTCTTGTTCCTTCACTCAAAACGAAGCAGGCTCTGGAGAGAGTACACAATTTGTAATTTTCTTGCACGACCAGGAGTGCCCTGTGAGGAGGCTCTCCAGCAACACCTGCGTGTGAAAGCAAAGTAGCTGTGGGTCTTTGTGGAAGATGTGAAAGTATCACCCGAAACCCTATGACGCGAGGCAACTGCAGCAAGACATGGTCAGGAAAAGTGTTGCCCTTCAACTTCGATGTCACTGCTCTGTACAGGTCACTGGTGACCCTACGTCCTCCACAGCAATAGGTGTTTCTTAAAAGCAAGACAATCTATACACTTATAACCTCCTGCAACACCTCAGGCAAAAAGAGACGACGGTAGAAGATTTGTTACGTAGCACATTCTAGCTCCATCTAAAATAACCAAAAGTGTAAATTTTTATTTCAGAAAGCAGTAATCTACCTAAAACTCCATAAACTGTACAGATTCTAACAGAGAGACAAAACTGCTCAGGAACTTCCTCTTTACTATCATGTTACATTACAGAACAGCAACCAAAAGAGAGGAAAAAAAACACAACAAACCAAAACCCAACAACTGCAACAGCTAGCTAGTACCAGGAAGTTACGAACTTCCCCTACTGAAAAATTCCTTATCTGGTTCCTAATTACACTGAAAATATATTAAGATATGAAGGGGAGAAAAAAGTGCTCTCTCCTGTTCAGTTTTCCCACTTTAAACATTTAAAAGATACCTCCATATAAATCCAGTTGTTGTTCTCTC